TATTCAGAGCACAAATTCAGGATAAAACGCACAAATCCAGAAAATTCAACAAGCAAATTCGGGATACCCAACACAAAAAAATTCAAAGAGCAGGCAAATTTGAAACACAGAAATGTAAATTCAAGCGAGGAACAACTTACTCATAGTCGCAGATGAAGATATCGATGAAGCCGGAAGAGTGCAAGAGAAATCGCCAAGAAAGAAAGCAAGGGTTATAGGAAAAGCTCAAAGTACAAAGAGTTCAAAAATTGCAAAGGTGGAAAAACTCTGAAAATTCGCTAAGTGTTGAATTTATACCTAGATGATTTGAAGAGTTGAGAGATAAGGGCCGTTGGATTAAAGCAAAATCTCGCGACGGGAGATATCCAATTAACACAGGATAGAAAAGGGGCACGTTATGCGAAAATGTGCAATAATTAAAGCGACTGACAGAAGCGGCATGTGTGACGCGTGACAGGAAAGCAGGTGCGACATAAAGGACGTGTGACAGACAACTTTATTGCTGGCAATTAAAGAAGGATTAATTGAAAAAGTGAGCAGGAAACTCATCAGATGGTCGATATATGACATCATGCCATCCAGGAGAGCGACGAGCACAAATTCACTCTTAGATCGAGTCATCCAGACTCGACTAGAGTGGGGGAGACTAGATGATATAGGATATTATACCCACAAGGCTAAATTGGACCGCTGAACCGGTCGAAGAGGCCATAACGTGAAGAAACCAAGCTGAGTGGCGGGAAAATCGACAAGACAACCAGTCGACCAGTCAAGCAGTCGACAAATCCATCATTCGACCAGGTAAACGGTCGGGCAGTTTAGTTGACCTCAACAGGTTGACCACTTCGCGGACATAGCGCTTTATGAATTGGCCTAGTCAGAGGCGCGTGTAAGAGCCTCTAACGAAATTTCAGTAGAATATTCACTCTATGTGCAGAAGGACACGTGTCGAGAACACATTGGTTGATAGCGACAACCACCTCTAACAGCTCCCAACGTCCCGCAATACCTCTGACATGCGCACGGTGTGTCAGAGTATGGACGGGCAGCTTAGGCAGCCAGCTCACCAAATCCTGGCAGCCTTAGGTCAGGTATCTCACACCTATATAAAGGGGGTGAGCCTTTCTTCCTTAACACGATTTTTTTTATTATTCAACTCCAGTATACTCATACACATACTGACTTAAGCATCGGAGGCTCTTCACCGGACACAACCCCCCGTGTGAGAGTTATTTGCAGGTTTCCGGCGTTCTATCAGCGAAGGCGAGGTTCGATCCATCCTAAACCGGGCTAGGACGCTCACACTTGCATTACGACCCATACAGGACGAAGGGATGTTCACTCAAATCACCCTCAATCAATGTTTTAAAACGCGGATAGCGTAATGCCTCGCGTTTTAGTCTTTATACCGTGTAGTGTAAATATATAGCGTTGCGTAAGCTATTTGAGTGTAGAAAATTATTTTTACAGAAATATTATATATATACTTGCATATAATAAAACTGGATGTTTAATTCTAAAAAGTATCATAATATTTGAATGAAATCAAAATAAAACATCAGAATTAATTTTTACAAATATATAATGCAAAATATCATAATATAGATACTTAAATAACAAAGCAAATATACTAAAAAGTAAAACAAACAATGAAAATATAATAAGATAAAGTCATATTTTAATTTTAAGCATATACATTGTTATTAATTTTTTTATTTAATTACAATTTAATTCTAGCCACTAGATATAAAATTTTTGTTCTTAAATTTAAATGTCAAATATCCAAAAGTATAATGATATAATTGACTTGGACCGATATATATTGCAATATTTAACTTAGGACTTTACATTTTCAAACTTTTAATTTGAAATCATTATTAAAATTTTTAGTTTTCAGGAATTTAAAAATATATTTCTAATCCCTAAAAAATATAAGTTTTTTTTTTAAATATTTTATTGTTTAAATACACTGCAAAAATATAGCGCAAAGTAGTGAAAATAGCGTGACATAACGCAAAATATATAAAAAAATGTGCTATTTCAACTTTTGGCGTAAGCGTTTTTTGGAAAATGACGCTAGATATATAAAACAATATCGCGTTTTTTGGAAAAAAAAAAAAAGAAAAAAGAAAAAATGCAAATAACAATATTGTGAGCTACAGCTAACTATTTAAAACAGTACCCTCAACTGAAAGTGAATCTGTAACAGTTTCGTGAGTAATACGTAGGCCCGCGGCCCATCAAATACAGAATATGTTGCCTTCCTTCTCATTGACTTTTTGGATAATTAAATGAATGACCGTCTCACAATTTCCTAAAGATATCTCGAATAGACAATGTAATACAAGTTATTCCACCAAGTATAAAATGAAATGAAACATGATGTCACATTATCAAGAAATGGTTCCCACACTACAACGAATTTTTTTCAACAGGTTTTTTTTTGGTACATTCAACAGGCATATTTGACTTTATGTGAACAGGGCACCGCAAATTTAATGGAGTAAAATCGAATCAAAGGGGAACAACTGCTTAGCGAGACAACTGTTAGGGTCCCTTTGTTCGCGCATACAAGGCATTCTATATCCTCCAAATTGGGTATTATATTTGTAAATTTAACTTGTTTAGTTGAGTATGAAAAAGCCCTATCATGTTTATGGGTCAAAATCTTTTTCACCCCGTTATATATCTTGATATAGGATATTATACCTACCAGGCTAAACCGGTCTGCTGAACCGGTCGAAAAGGACGTACCGTAAAGGAGCCATGCCAAGTGGCATGAAGATCGATCAGTCAACCAGTCGACCAGCCAAACAATCGACCAATCCATCACTCGACCAGATAAGCGATCGAGCAACTTAGTCGACTTCAGCAGGTCGATCACCTCGCGGACTTAACACTCTATGGATCGGCCTAGTCACAGGCGCGTGTAAGAGCCTTTAACAGAATTGCAGGAGAATATTCACTCCATGTGCAGAAGGACACGTGTCGAGAACGTATTGGATGATAGCGACAACCACCTCTGACAGCTCCCAACGTCCCGCGCCACCTATGACATGTGCGCGGCGTGTCCGATTACGGACGGGCAACTTGGGCAGCCAGCCCACCTTATCTGGGCAGCTATTAGAGTATGTATCTCACCCCTATATAAAGGGGGTGAGCCTTTCTCCCTTGACACGATGATTCCATTATTCAACTCCAGTATAATCATACACATACTGACTTAAGCATCGAAGGCTCTTCACCGAACACAACCCCCGGTGTGTGAGTTATTAGCAGGTTTCCGGCGTTCTACCGGCGAAGGCGAGATTTGATCTATCCTAAACCGGGCCAGGACGCTCACGCTTGCATTATTGGTGCCGTCTGTGGGACTTTCCTTTGAGAAGTTGTGTTTGAAGCTCAGCTATGGCGGACGGAATTCTCAAAAACTTGCAGTCGACGTTCGACGACGCTAGGACGACGACCAGGCCGGTTGGGCAAGGCCCTCATTCGGGTTTCTCTGGCCCTTCGCAGACGCCGGTCACTCCTGCACCCGTCCTTCAAGGTGTGGGAGCATCCACGACGGTCCCCGGAGGAGACGCAAGTTCCAGTCGTGCCCAGGAGGCTCGCGCAACAGCCCCAGAACCCAGTAATGACGCAGCTCGGAGGAGCAATAGCACAAACAGGAGCGGTGACAGAAGGAGGAGCGCCACCACAGGTAGGTGTACAAGCTCCCGGTCAGCAGGTAGTGACGATGACCAGGGAGGAGATGCAGAGGATAGCCGCGGCCGCGGCGGCGTAGGCAGTTCAGTAAGTTACAAGTCACACGTCTCATACCACAACAGCGCCGACCACGGTGGCAGGAAGTCAGTACGAGGATGTGTCCAGTTATGGAGACGGAGGAGGCGGGAGAGATCGTGCGATGGAGAGGATGGCGGAGCAGTTGCGTCAGTTACAGGACAAAGTCGAGGGGAGACCGGAGAGGAGAACTCGAGGACATCCTTTCTCGAGGGAAATTCTCACGGCCCCTTTGCCGAATAATTTCAAAGGAGACTAATTTGGTGTATGACTGGTCATCTGACCCATCGAGGCATGTGAGGACCTTTGAAAATATGGTTGTGTTACATGGATATTCCAATTCTGTATGTTGCAGGGCATTTTTATCGACCTTGCACGGAGGAGCACTTGATTGGTTTCATCAGTTACCCCCTGGGTCGATCGCGGACTTTGAGGATTTTTCCAGCAAACTTACCAATCAGTATTCGAGCGCGGTGGCGTAGGAGAAGACATATCTGACCCTGATGGCGATGAGGCAGGGGGAGAAGGAATCGTTGAGGAAGTACGTTGCTCGATATAATCAGACGTGCTTGGAAGTACACTCGGCGTCGGATGAGGTGAAGGCAGAAGGGTTGATTAGGAGTCTTCGAGCGGGGCCTTGCCGAACCTCATTGGCGAAGACCCCTGCTCGATCGTATGAGGATGTTTTGAAGCGGTGTAGGAAGTACATTATCCTGGAAGAGATGGAGGTGGAGTTTGCAAAATTGGAGGGAGCGGCTCGACCAGAGCCGAAGAGGGAAAAGAGTCCACCAAGGGGGACGTCGCCGAAAAGAAGTTCGCCCAGGCGGAGCAGGCCGAAAAGAGCCTCGCCTAGAGGAGAGGGGCGAGACTCGAAGCAAACAAATAGGGATGATAGATGGCAGGGGAGGCCGTTGTTGCTCGAGAGACAAAGGTACCATAATTTCACACCGCTAAGGAAAGATATAACAGAAGTGCTCGAGGCAATGGATCAGAAGATGCCGAGCGAAGACGTAACGTAGCCAAAGACGAGGTTTATAGGCCCAGTTCGGCCCAGATCGGATATCTATTATCGTTTCCATAGAGACTATGGTCATACCACGTAGAATTGCTGACATTTGAAGGATGAGATTGAGAGGTTGATCCGGGCTGGACATCTGAAGAAGTTTGTGTACCATGATAGGGTGAAAGGAAAGGGAAGAAGGAGATGTCGAGAGGATTCGGAGGAGAGGAGTGATAGAGATGAGGAGGGGAAGGATAGAGATGATCGAGGAAAGAAACCGAGGAGGCACGGAGAGAAAGGAAGGCTAAGGGGCGAAGCTCCTATGAAGAGAGGGACGATTTATATGATCTCAGGAGGGCCGACGGATGGCGACTCGAATAACGCCAGGAGGGAGCATGCTCAAGCAGTGAAGAGGAAGAGGGAGGAGGTCGGAATCACGGCTCATATGCCAGTAATTAGTTTTAAAGAAAAGGATGTCGAGGGAGTGGTGCTACCACACAATGATGCTTTGGTGATTACCGCGGAGGTTGCGGGTTTTAATGTGAAGAGGGTGTTTATTGATACCGGGAGTTCGGTAGACGTGATGTTTTATGATTGTTTCTCGCAGATCAACAAGGAGCTGAACATGGAGTTGAAGCCGGTGGCCACGGCTCTATATGGTTTTAATGGAGGAGAAGTGATGCCGCTAGGCGAGGTGAGTCTGCCGGTGGCGTTAGGATCAGGAGTGACGAGAAATGTGCGGATGGTACGGTTTGTGGTAGTAGGAGCTGAGTCATCTTACAATATTATTATGGGGAGGACGAGCCTAAATGCGTTCCAGGCGGTCGTATCAACGTACCATATGACGATAAAATATCCGGTGGGCGAAAACGTTGGTGAGATCGCAGGGGATCAACTTACCTCGAGAAGCTGCTATCAGACGACAGTGAGTAATAACAAACAATTGGCACAGAGGCAGACCAAGCCGAAGGAGGAGGAAATTAGTCAACTAGGTGGGTCAAGGTCGAAGGAGGACAGGCAGAGACTGGAGAAGGGTAAGGGAAAGGTAGACATACAGCCAGGAGGGGAGGTGGAGGAGATCCAGATGATCAAGGGGTATGAGGAGAAGAAGTTTAAAATCGGGAAGGAGCTGGAGGAGCCAATCAGATCGAGATTGATTAGTTTGGTGAGGGAGTTTGCCGATATCTTTGTTTATACAGCGAAAGAGCTGACAGGAATAAGTACAGAGGTGATCGAGCACCGCTTAAACATCGACCTCAGTGTCAGGCCGGTGAAACAAAAGAGGAGGCACCATAGAGCGGAGATGGATAAAATTATTGAGTAGGAGGTCGAGAAGTTGTTGGGAGCTGGGCATATCAAGGAGATTCAATTCCCAGAATGGTTATCAAATACAGTAATGGTGTCCAAAGCTGAAGGAAAATGGAGAATGTGCATAGATTTCTGGGACCTGAACAAAGCATGCCCGAAGGATTTGTACCTGTTGCCCAGGACCGACCAGCTAGTCGATTCAACTGCTGGGTGTAAGTTGTTGAGCCTGATGGATGCCTCGCAGGGATATTATCAAATTCCCTTGGCAAGAAGAAGGGGTGGCACAATTTCCTATTTATTATGTGAGCAGGGTGATGCAAGGAGCTGAGATGAGGTACTCTAAAATCGAGAAGTGTGCTTTGGCAGTGGTTGTAACCGCTCGAAAATTGAGGCCATATTTCTTGAACACAGAGTGAAGGTGAGAACAAACATGCCGCTGGGAGAGACGCTCGGGCGGCCCTCAGTTTTTGGTCTATTGGTGAAATGGGCGGTCGAGCTAAGTGAATACTCATTGTTGTATGAGCCGGGGAGGGCTATAAAGGCATAGGTGTTAGGGGGTTTTATCCAGGAGGGTACGAAAGTTGAGAAGGAGTCAGGAGGAGTATGACAGTTGTTCGTGGATGGATCTGTGGCGAGAGGTGGAGCTGGGTTAGGAATTGTACTTGTCTTTCCTAAGGGCGATTATCTAGAATTTGCAGCCAAAGTGGGATTCAGGGTGTCGAATAATGAGGCTGAATATGAGGCCGTAGTCAAAGGTCTGCAACTAACCATGGATGGAGGAGCTCGGAAAGTGCAAGTACACTCTGATTCTCAGTTGGTAGTTGGGCAATTTCAGGAAGGTTTTGAGGTTAAGGAGGATCGAATGCAGAGATATGTAGACGGGATGAGGAAGTTGAAAGAGGAGTTTGATTCGTTCAAACTGATACAGATCCCTCGAGGAGAAAATGGTTGAGCAGACTTGTTGTCGAAGATCGCTCAAAATCTGGTGGATTGCAAGAGCAGAAGTGTGACCTTGTTACATTTGGAGAGAAGCGTGGTCGAAGCAAAAGTGGTTGAGATCGAAGAGGTCGAAGATTGGAGAGCCCCAATTTTAAGGGAGTTGAAGGAGGGGGCGTTGAAGGTAGTAAAGAGCTTTTTTGAGCATGGAGGTATTCTTTACAAATGGTCGTATGCCGGATCGCATATGAGGTGCGTGACTAGAGAGGAGGGTCGATACATGCTGAGAGATGTGCACGAAGGATGTTTTAGCGACCATAGCAAGTCGGGGGCCTTGGTCGCAAAAATTTCTAGGGCAGGGTATTTCTGGTCGACGATGAAGAAGGACGCTAGGGTTATAGTAAAGAAATGTTTGCAATTCCAGAAGCATGGCCCATTGATTCATCAACCCGCAGAAGACATGACAACAATGAGTGCCCCTATACCATTCGTCAAGTGGAATCGACCTGGTGGGGCCGATGCCGCAGCGGACGGGGCAGAGGAAATTTTTGATTGTCATCAGTTTCTTATATAACAATATTTGCTGCAGGTTTGGCGTGCCCAAAGTGTTGATATCCAACAATGGAACTCAATTCAATGGCAAGCGGATTCAAGCATGGTGTGAGGATATAAAGATCGAGCAACACTTTTTCTTTGTCGCTCATCCGCAAGTCAATGGCCAAGTCGAGGTAACCAACCGAATTATACTGAATGGGCTGAAAACAAGGCTAGAAAAGGCCTCGGGGGCATGGGTCGACGAGCTAACTTCAGTACTTTGGGCATACCGCACTACCCCGAGGTCGACCACACGAGAAACCCCCTTCAGTCTTGTCTATGGGACGGAAGAACTGCTACCAGTCGAGGTCGAGCTATCATCGCAAAGGTCGAGCACATATGACTCAGAGCAGAATGAAGATCTAATGATGGCGGCTTTAGACACCATTGAGGAGCTGCGCGAAAGAGCAGCGATCAGAGTGGAAGTGTAAAAACAAAAGATGCGACCAGCTCATGACAAAAAGGTGAAAGTTCGCAGACTCCAAGTGGGTGACTTGGTTTGGAAACGCGTGGATGTGCTCAAACACGTGGGAAAGCTGGAACCAAACTGGGAAGGTCCATACCTGGTCGAGAGGGTGCATGCAGCAGGAGCATACTCTCTAAAGGATGCAGAAGGGAGATCACTTGCCAGGTCATGGAACATAGCTAATTTGAAAAAATATTATGTGTAAAATTTTTGCTTTTTTCAAAGAGGTTTTGGAAATTTGAACAAAGATGTAGCTCGCAAATCCTGATAAGAAGTTAATAAAATTCAGTCACCTTTTGGAATTACTTATTTTATTGCGCACCCTCTTATGCTTGGAATGTTCGAATGATTTGGATGACAGGATGTATGATGTGGTCGCTTGTTTGTAATATCCCTTGAGGTGGGCAGGTTGGTCGATTACTCACGCCCTTGGGCTGGGTGGCCTCATGTTTGAAACATTCCTCGCGGGTGGGCAAGTGTGAAGGCCAAACCCACCATGATTAAGGCCCTCGGGCTAGGTGGTCGCTTTTTTGGAACATCCCTTGGGGTGGGCAGGTTGGTCGATTACTCACGCCCTCGGGCTGGGTGACCTCCTGTTTGGAACATTCCTTGCGTGTGGGCAAGTATGAAGACCAAACCCACCATGACTAAGGCCCTCGAGTTGGGTGGTCGCTTGTTTGGAGCATCCCTTGGGGTGGGCAGGTTGGTCGATTACTCACGCCCTTGGGCTGGGTAGCCTCCTGTTTGGAACATTCCTCGCAGGTGGGCAAGTGTGAAGGCCAAACCCACCCTGATTAAGGCCCTCGGGCTGAGTGGTCGCTAGTTTGGAACATCCCTTGGAGTGGGTAGGTTGGTCGATTACTCACGCCCTCGGGCTGGGTGACC